TATACTATACATACTATAACTATAACTATACACTACACAGTATATATATATATAATTAAGTACTAACTACTAACACACAATATACTATATATATATATATATATACATGCATATATATATTTATATATGTTTATATATACATACATAAATACATACATATATACATACATACATACATACATACATACATACATACATACATACATACATACATACATACATACATACATACATACATAATTACATACATACATACATACATACATACATACATAAATATCTATTAATAAAAAATTACTCGGTACAACAACAAATAACCTCCCCCCCCTGTCGTCACCGCATACCTGAGTGTCGTAGTACATATGCACACTGCCCTTGGGCAGGTTGAACACCTTTGTCTGCAGATTCTTGAGTATGGCTCCCAGGCCTTGCGCGTACGCGGCGACCTTAGGATCATTCAGCACGCTGTCGTCTAACACCTTGTCCACGTACGTGTCAAAGTCACAGATTTTACCTACATGTCTTAACCGGACACCCGGAATGATCTCACAGGCGTTGTTGGTAGGGGGGATGTCGGGCACCGTAAGCTGAGTGGGTCCTGTAAATGGGAATATAAGGATGATGGTGTTAAATATGTATCTGTAGTTAATGAGGTTGAGTTAAAAATATGAAGTTATTGGGTGTTAGTATTGTGTAATTTTAGAAATATGAAGTTATTGGGTGTTAGTATTGTGTAATTGAAGATATCAAGTACTGAACTTGTATTTGATGATAGCAACTCACATGTGCTGTCATTGGTCGGAGCTCAACGACCTCTGCCTGTTACTCAAAATTTAAGAACGGAAATAGTCTGTTCGGTTACTATGTACAAATATATACATATACAACATATACATATACATCAACATAAACATATACGTATAATTAAGTATATATTATATATATATATATATACATTACAAAATGTTGGTGGGTGAGTTTATGCGAGGAATATATGCACATGTTTGTATAACAGTATAGTATGCGTGTGTGCGTTTGTAGTCGGATAGTATGCGGGTGGATATGTACGCTAATCCAGAATATATATATGTGTGTGCGTTTATTGTGTGCAAGCACGCCCTTATCCTACTAATGTGTGTGTACAACCACACAACCTAGCCACTACAGCACACTAATGTATGCATTGCCCCATAAGATGCATGTGTACCCTATACACTGACAATTTATTCGGTTCATCCGTGTACGTGTCATATAACACATGGCACTGCACCTGAGTCGATGTCTAAGTGATTGGGCCGACAGGACTGTACCGCCCGTTCCAGCGTACTCTTCATCATATCGGGTGTCACCGGCACACCTCCGCTGTTGCCACCTCCAGGTGCTGCATACGAACAGACAGGGCAAGGTAAATGGGCAAGCCAGCCAAGGAAGGTGCGTGAGAGGTATGTATGTATGTGCATATATAGTATACATACATGTGTAGGTTGTGTGTTTTAGACACATGGAGGAGTCAGACATTTAGGGATGATCAGAGGGTGCCTTTGAGTACTATACTTTATAGGAGTATCGGATAATTGACGTCGGGAGGACGAAGGGAATGGTGAAGTGACAGGCGTTTAGCAGACCATGACGCGCAAATGCACTACTATCAATGCCGAGTGCAGTATAATATGAGGAGAAGGGACGCCCACACACACACACACATATATATATATATATATATATATATCACATACATGTACGTAATTGAGGATGCATAACCCACACATGTACCCACCGGCAACGATAGGCATACATATACTACACACGCACTACTTCTGACACATCAAACCGAGTTTGTTTCCACATACACACAGACACAGACATATACATAGACATAGACATAGACATAGACATAGACATACACGTACCCATACATATAGACATAGACATAGACAGACATAAACATAGACATAGACATTCACATCGAAATACATCACATGATGCACCACGTACCTGGTGGGGTGTGAGTTTGGTCGACACCGCTACCACTGCCGCTATGGCTACCTCCACTGCCGCCCAGGAACTTGGACAGTCGGCTTTTGAGTGATCTCGAATGGTGTGGTTTGGTCCCTTGGTCGACTTCTGGTGGAGGAGAGTGGGACGGCAGGGCAGCACCTGTGCATAGGATACACACAGTCACAGGTGCGAGTATGTTATGGTTGAGGAGTTGTGGTTTGTATGCACGGACGATTTCATTAATATGATACAGGCAGCCACCATCACAGACACAGGCGCGAGTAGGTCATAGTGAAGGAATTGGAGCTTGAATATAATACATACACACACACACACACACATATATATATATATATATATATATATATACATAAACGTATATAAGTATACAGACAGAGACAGGTGTTGAAGATCCACAAACAACCCCAAACCTACAAAAAGGCCACATCTGCATGCATGTCTCGTCAAATCGAAACCATACAAGCAATTCACACATCTGACTGCCAGAGAATTCAACGATACAGTAACAAACACATCTTAACTAAGTTTAAGTGTCCACCTAGACTCAGAGGCCGTGTACCTGGGGGTTCGGATGGGCATTGTGGAGGTTCGTCTGGTGCTGTCGGATGTGCTCCAGTGTAAGATGGTGGTGGTTGGAACGGTTGCGTTGGGTCGGGGGTTTGACTGCGAGTTTGGTCTGAATGACATGAAATATAGAAAGAAGGGGCGATCAGAGTGGGGAAATGGGCCTGTTTTGTCCTATTAGTTTGGTATGTATATCTATGTGATGCAATTCGTAGCGGGCCTGTGTGGAAATGGGCCTGTTTTGTCCTAATAGTTTGGTATGTATATCTATGTGATGCAATTCGTAGCGTGCCTGTGTGGAAAGGGGCTTGTTTTGTCCTATTAGTTTGGTATATATATCTATGTGATGCACTTCGTTGTGGGTCTATGTGCAAATGGGCCATTTTAGTCCTTGTATATATATGTGATGAACTTCGCAGTGTGCCTAAATGGGAAGCGGCCTGTTTTGTCCTATTAGTTTGGTATATATATCTATGTGATGCACTTCGTAGTGAGTCCATGTGCAAATGGGCCTGTTTAGTCCTTGTATATCTATGTGATGAACTTCGCAGTATGCCTATTTGGGAATGAGCCTGTTTTGTCCTATTAGTTTGGTATATATATCTATGTGATGCATTTCGTAGCGTGTCTATTTGGGAATGGGCCTGATTTGTCCTTAGTTTGGTATATATATATCTGTGATGCATTTCGTAGTGTGTCTATGTGGAAATGGGCCTGTTTTGTTCTAATAATTTGGTATGTATATCTATGTGATGCAATTCGTAGCGTGCCTATGTGAAAATGGGCCTGTTTTAGCCTAATAATTTGGTATATGTATCTTTGCGATGCACTTCGTAGTGTCTATGTGGAAATGGGCCTGTTTTGTCTTGTATATCTATGTGATGAACTTCGCAGTGTGCCTATGTGGAAATGGGCCTGTTTTGTCCTTGTATATCTATGTGATGAACCTCGCAGTGTGCCTATGTGAAAATGGGCCTGTTTTGTCCTCATTATTTGTTATGTATATCTATGTGATGCACTTCGTAGTGTGTCTATGTGGAAATGGTCCTGGTTTCTCCCAGAAGGCTGGCATAAATGTCTGTACTGTTGTTTACAGTGAATAGTTTTATATGTATGTCAATGTGATGTTGTTTGTGGTGCGTCTATATGGGTAGACATACATGTCTCGTGTGTGTGTGTATATGTATACGAAACCGGATGTCTTCATGCACCCGCCGTTTCAACGTATATTCCCACGGACATTGCATGATTAGCATTCGATAACACAGCCAAGCACCTCTGCGCACGCTATTATGATAACATACGTAAATTCCATGAGACACATACTTGTAACTCAAATGTCACCAAAAACCAGGCGTAATGTAGATGTAAACCAGGCATAATAAAAACCACACATGCAAATGGAGATAAACGTACACACTACATACTCGCAGGCACGGAGACCGAATACACACAAGTGTACCTACACACATGCACGCATTAGTGTAAACCTGCTCGTGGGTACCGATTCTTGATACACACAAGTGTACCTACACAGATGCACGCATTAGTATAGACCTGCTCGTGGGTACTGATTCTTGATACACACAAGTGTATCTACACAGATGCACGCATTAGTACCAACCTGCTCGTGGGTACTGATTCTTGAGCAGTTCATCGACGGTGGCTTCCATGTGGTTGGCCTGGAAGGATTGCAGCAGATGCAACAGGTACTCTTGGTCACAGTCTGCAATATCGGAGGAGTCATGCAGGGCCATGAGAGTCTTTTATGTGTGGTTTGTGTACTTGTATGCATTCATTGATGATTGTGTAATTGTGGTAGTACTCCTGGTCACAGTCTGCAACTGCCACCGCTATTCAACAGCAGGGAACTCGCAAGCAGTGCATATAAACTGGTCCTGGTAAATCTATAGTCAAAGCTACTTGGCAGCGTGTATGAACTTGTCCAGGATAACAAGGTAAAACAAAAAGACACCTGGAACCCTGATCGCTCACCGCTTCGCATGCTGTGAGAGCTTAAAATGGGACAAAAAAGACCCTAACTGCTTCGCATGCTGTGCGAGCTTAGAATGGGACATATACGGCCCTAAAGCTTTTGGTTGGGTGCGGTTAAGATGTGTGTTGCGAGTGGATGCACAAGTAAACGAATGATACGCACATACCATGGCCACTAACTGACAAATCCTGAAAAGCAGGGGTAGCAGCAGGTGCTGTGTTGTGGTACTTGACTTGTATGTTGCTAGTAGGTATTATACTTCATATATCGTGCTTAATGATATTACCTGGGAGAACGGTCTGTCTCTGATTCATGTGTGTAAATACACATAGTATATTATTGAATAACATATATATACATACACATGATACATCATTGAATAATATATAATACACATAACATATTGGAATATATATATATACATACACATGATACATCATTGAATAATATATGATACACACAACATATTGAATAATATATACATGCCTGGAGACATGACCTCTAACTTCATAGCTCAGACTCTGCAGTTGCCGTGCAGTACTTGACTTGTAGGTTGCGAGTAGGAGTACATAGTATATCAATGCTGAACAGTATACACATACCTGGGAACATGACCTCCAGTTGCTTCATGTAAGCTAATACGTATACTATATTATTGAATAATACCCACACACACCTTCAGTGGTGCTACCTTCAGTTGCTTCATGTATGCATATACGCATAATATATTATTGAATGATACACACACACCTGGGAACATGACCTCCAGTTGCTTCATGTAGGCCTTGATATCAGCGGGAGATAGACCAGACCCTGTAGCCTGATTGGGTGCAGTGGGGGGTGGCTGTGACGCTACATTGGGTGGTGCGTTAGGGTTTCTGTCTGTCGGGAGAGGCGGTTCTATCGCTATATAGAGTATAGTCGCAGTAAGAATGGTTGTTAGTGAACGTGTATCTAAGCAAAACAATTGGTTAGGATAATGTGATGAGAATAGACCAGCATAGCATATAGATACGCACGCTTTCGTGCTCGGGTTAAAGCACACAAAATTCTACGCACAAAGATTCACGAATATA